AGGGGTGGTGCGCGAAATCGACCTCGTCGACCCCCCCGAATCGCGCCGTCGAGGGGGAGGCGGAGGCGGCGTTGATGGGGTCCGCGTGCCGGGAAAGCAGCGCCACCGGGGCCTTTGCCACCGTCGCGGCCGCGGTCGAGGTGAAGGTGCCCGGTTTAGGGGCCTGGCCGTTCGCCCCAACCCCGGCCTCCGCATCCACGCTGGGTGACCGCGACGGCGCCCGCACCGCGGCTAAGAGGTCCTGAATGACGCTCCGAATCGGCGTCGCGTTTTCGGGATCGCTGACCCACGTGACGTAGAGCTGCGATATAATCGCCTTGGCGGTCTGGTTGGTGTTCGCGCGCGGCTTCACGGCGGCCATCACTGCTGCTCTCGGTTGCAAATATAGAATAAAGCGGTTTGGGCCGTTTTAGAGGGTCTGGAAAATAAAACCAATAGTTCACCAAAAAGGGTGAAAGAATTCGTGGAATGAAAAAAGTAAAACACTAGGTACTTAAGAAGATATAGTAAAATCTTTTTTTTTCGAAAGACTTGTGTAAAAACTCAACATTATTATTATTGTTGTTAAATGCAGACATATAAGAGGAGAATTTTGAAATAATAGGAAATCATTCGGTGTCTTGTTTCAAATGAATAATATATATATATAATAAATTTCAAAAATGACTAATTCAGAAGCACAACAAAATATATTCAATTTATTTTTTACTTCAAAAATGAAAAAAATGGTGGAAACAATTGTTTCAAGTCTGAAAACAAACCATTTATACATACATATGTATCTATGTTTATAGTAGGCACAAATTTCATTGAGTATATATTTTTGCGTGCACTTTAGTAAAAAAAGTTTACACATGCAAAATTTTTATGCACTTAATATGATCCCATGGGCATCCCCCTATGTGAATAGAGTGAGTGAACAAGGAATATGAAAAAAAATTTTCGACATAATTATAAAGCTTGACGCTTAAGTTTTAAGAAATAGAACAGTACAGTAAACAAGTCCTAGAATTTTAAGTAAAGCACATTGGTAAATTTTAAAAAATGATATCAGACTTTTCCACACAATATTGACTGCATCTTCACACGTATTAAAGAAATTTGATTAAAAAAATGCACTTTTACATTTATTGAAAATTACATTCAGTAAAGGAAATTTCTTCTAAGGACTCAATTGGGAATAAAAAATGAGAAGCTTAATGCTCAAAGTCTGAAAAATAAGAAAATAGATTCCCTTATACTTATAATACAGAAAAGAATATAGAAAATTAGTGAGCATGTAAATATATTAGCCTTCTCTATTTTACTCATCAGATGTATACTTACATCTCAAATACATAGAAGATATTAAACAATGACCTTTTCACTTTATCACACCTTTGTTGGTTGTAGAAAAAAAAAGAGTTCCATAATTTCTCTTTTATTATATATATTTATTACCCTGAGTAGTCTAAAGCTGAATGTGAGAAAAGCTTTTCATAAGTATTATGATGAAAATAACACACATAAAGAGAGAGAAAGATAGGCAACGGAGATTAAATGAGTTGAATATTATAGTGAAAATAATAACACTGTTAGACTCATGCTGGCACAGTGTCATTAATTTCTTTTGCAAGCTTCTCAGCAGCAATTTTTAGAGCCTGTAGTTCTTTTTTTTTAGCTAGAGACGCCTCCTCCACACGTTTTGCTAGTAAGAGAACTTTGTCAGTGTTACTTCCAGTAAAGGTATCCTTCAACTCTCCATAGAAATATGAGAAAAAGCACGGGATGGTTTTCACGTCAAGATGCTGGCAAAGTTCCTTTGACTCCTCCGTAGCGTAGAGAACTAGTAGTTTAGTTTCTTTGAGTGACTGTGGGCGATTATCGTTCAGGTTCTCAAGGAAAGTAATAATGGACTCGGTACTAATGGTGCACAAAGGGCTTACCACTGAAAGAATCGAAGCGCCCTCATGTTTGTAAACATGAGTCTCCATATCATCAATGGTGTCTACTCGAATGAGGGTTGGAGGAATTGATGGCGGGCCACGTTTAGATTTTTCTTTTTTTTGTCACTGAAGCTGATCTTGCCATGATTGGATTCCTAGCAAATAACAAGATGTTAAGTTAAAACGAAAGAAAAGCAAGAAAAAATATATAGGCTTAGTCGTACACGTCTTTGATGTAAAGAGAAAAAAAGGTAGAAAAAAGGCATGATCTATATGTACTCACTCATGATACAATACACATGAATATTGGTTTCCTTATCTACACATGCGCATTGTGAAAAAATAATATCGAGAAGGTTACATTATTCTCTACTAACACTTCTAAAGTGTTTATAAAATGTCGGATTGCTAACTGGACTATATATAGTTTATATTCACTTTTTTTTTTCTGCATAAGTGTAAATTGATAGATTTAGAAAAAAACAGGTCCTTCATTTTCAGTGATCATTAACAATTCTTAATAATTGAAAGAAAAGAAAGCAACGGAAAAAACATTTATTAGGATTCAATACATTCTATAGATACTTTAATTGATTTTTTTTAAGATAATATATTCCAATAGCTATAAGCTCTAATTTATTAACGTCGTCAGTTCAGAGAATCCCT